TTTATATAAAATAAAATTTTAAAAAATAGCAATAGAAAATCCTATTATTTTTGTGTTTTTTTAGTTCCAATTTACAGTATATTTTTTCTTAGTTTAAAATTTTAACAATATTTTTCACGTTAAAGTATAATTAAATTTAAATTTTGTAGCATATAAATCTATATTGCTTATATATGTTTTATAAATATTATATACTATATAATTTAAACGTAGAAAAATAAGAAAGATGTATCTGTAGAAAATTGGAAGTAAATTAAATTTTATATATAATTCTATTAGAATTATTCATGAATGAATCAAATATATTAAAGGCTTTCGTTGGTCTGTATGTCTGAACATTAAACAATATTCATGCATACATGAAAGCTATTTATTAGAATTATATATAGATGTATCTTATGCAAATACTTCCATCTCGCGTCGTGTTTCATCTATGATTTCCAGTGTAGGTAATAGTATAACTTCTGTTTTTGTATCTGTCAATCACGCTCTATACTTTAACGATTTCTCTCCTAGAAATGCAAAAAATGTGGTTTTTTTACGCTTTTAATAAACGAAATGTATTTATTTTTATGCAAAATTTTACACAACTTATAAAATATTTAATTATTTATTTAAAAAAATATATATAAACACATTTATTTATTTATCTTTTTATGATTTATTCATAAATTTTAAAAGTATTTTGCTCGTTGAGGAAACAATAAATGGTAACATTGCTTTGTTATTTATGTAAATTTTACTATTTATACGAGATAAATAATAGTTGAGATATAGAGCGTGAATGACAGACATGCAAACTGATTCGTCTGCATATTTGTTATTACTACTTAACGCATCATAAACAAATGTTATAACAGAAAAAAAAACTTATAAGTAAATAAACAAAATAAAATTATTAATTATAAGAAAAAAGTAATTATTTTTTTATTTAAAAATAGAAAAATATCTCTAGAGAAAATACAATTTAAAAAAAAAACACAAATCTACGTAAACAACAAATAATTTTTTTCTCTAACCNTAAATGTTGTAATATTTTATATTAAGATTAAAAATATGTGTTTTCTTCCATTAAAGCAAAATAAGTGTAACAAAATCAGCATCTTTTACTTAAACGAACACGTGTGTCAGCTCTTATTTACATAATTATATCATTCTTATGTTTGCAAATGAAATGAAATATCAAATATACAAGATTAGTTAGTCGTTAAGCTTCATGTAAATTGTTTGCTAAAGTATTTTCATAATGAAGATGAATCATTGCCAAGCAAAATAATCTAAGAAAAGATCGATAAGTCTTCATAGTAAGCATCGTTATCAATTTTTCTTTAAGGATTAATGATAATAAGTAACTTTTATATATTTTAGTAATAAATTTTTGGCTTAAATAAATTTTTTATGTTGAATATATTTGCTAAAATTTGTGAGAAAAACAATTTTGTTTTCTTAGAAAGTTTCTTTAGAATCCCATCAAAGTTGGCATGTGCTATACGTTTCCTTGTAAAAGAGGATAGAGAGAGGTGACATATCACTTGTTAGCTAAAGATAGAGTGGCCCAAGAGCAAAATTCTAAACAAGAAAAATAAAATTATGTGAAAATGAAAATAAATATCCAACTTATACTTTAAAAAAAAACACCAACAACACCTACTTTTACTTGTTTAAAGTCAAGTAAAATTTATTGGTTTGTATCTTATTACAATATTTAAGAAGTTTTTAAAGTTTGTCTAGCAATTTATTTTCTTAACAATTTAAGTTGAAAAATTTAGTTAATTTTTTATTTTTTGTTTGTAAGAAATTGTTGAAAAATTAAATTTTATTTTTAGATTTTTCTATAAGAATAAATATCCATAAAAGTGTAAATTAGCTGGAATAAATGTCGAAAGAATGTCATTTTGTTTAGGCTTTATTTCACAATTTTTTTTTCTTTATCTAGTTCTTATAGTTTGGCTTCTCCAAGTCGTAAAACTCAGTAGAAAGTTTTTCTTCTCATTTGTTGAGTAATCGAATTGGTTCCTTAGAAATCAGACCATTTGATCCTTATAGAAAAAAAATAAGATAAAAAAAAGCAATTCATGATTGAGAAAGTCATTTCAGAACTTTTAGTAAGAAAAATTGTGTTTGTTATTAAAACTTCTAATTTATATAAGCTTAAAAATCACGAATCTTCCTCCTGAAATACCCACGTTGCATGCAAATGATATCGATGATATATATATTATCGATATCATTTGCATGCAACATGGTACTTCAGGAGGACTTAATATATACATATAAAACTTTAAAATCATTTTTAAACTTTAATATAATTCATGTAATTTTTCTCATAACCAATTTTCGTTTATAGCACTTTACAAAAATAGCTTTTCCTTTGTATATTAACCAATATATACTTTTCCTTTTTTTTATCTTGTAATGTTACAAGTATCCATTATATAAAGTACAACCAAAAAACGAGATACTTATAGAANAAATTGTACAAATTTAATATAAAAAAAAAAATAATAATAATCAAGAGGGATATTGCATTTATCAATGTGACATGTAGCCTATTTAATTACGGATCTGTTGTGAATCTGAAGAAAATGTGTTATTATACAAACCAGTTAGAGCTTGTAGCAATGTTAAAGGTTGCTTGTTTCTGTGTGAAGTTTGCAGATGTGCAACACCCTATTCGCTATTTTCTCATTACAAGTAAATGTTTATGGATATTAACAAACTACATGTCTTATTATATCAACATCTTTTGTTCTTTAATGATAACAATCCTCAAATTCTTTAAAAAAACTGATTCTTTTTTAAACAAAAGAGGGAAACAAAAATAAGTCTTGTCTTTATTTAATACTGTTTTATAAATTATTTTTACTCCAATTCACTTAACAAGGCTCTAAGCTGCTCAAATGTGTATTAAGTTTATTAACAAGGCCCTAATCAATAATAACATTGTTAATAAATGTAAGGCACACGTACACAGCTTAGTTTGTAAATTTAAGGCACACTAAGCTATAACTTTACTAATTTAAAACAAAATAAACTTCTCTATTAAATAATGAAAAATGTGTTTTATTTTTGAAAGTGAAACATGAGGCCCTAATCTGTAATTTAAGGCCTCACACAACAACATAATTTATATCTTATTATGTAACAGTAACATAAGTTAAACAATATGTTAGTTTATGTACGCATGATTTAAACGAGAGATATTTTAGGGCCTCATATTACTAGGGGTCCTCTTCCATTCTCAAAATAAAAACAAAAGTATTGTCCATTTTTATTTGATAGAGCAGGAAAAGCTTCTTATATGTTATAACTTAGTATCACAAATCTATATCAGTCCATGATAATTAATACTCTTAACGTGCCAAAATATTGATAGCTATTATAATTAATTATATTTATCATAAAATTTATGTAATAAATTTGATATTTTTGATATTTTCAGATACTCCAGAAGTGTCATTGCAGTTAGGGAGCAAATTCAAGAAAGGTGATATCCAAGAAGGTAATGATGTGTATCTGGAATGTAACATCCAAGCCAATCCATGGGTATCAGAAGTCAGTTGGTATTTCGAAGGCCACGAATTGAGAACAAACACGTCAGCTGGAATTGTGATCAGCAATCAATCCCTTGTACTACAAAAAGTTCAACGAGTTAATCGTGGAAGATACTACTGTATGGCTACAAATAGTGAAGGGCATGGAAGAAGTAATGAAGTATTCTTGAGAATAAGATGTAAATATAATTAAATTTAATTATTAACTAACCTATGATTTAGTTTATTTTATAAAATTTATATTATTCTTATTTAAAAAATATATGTAGTTTTTTTCCACTTGATTAAGTGGAATAAAGTATGATGCCATTTTAGAAAATCGAATTTTATTTTTAGATTTTTCTATAAGAATAAATATCCATAAAAGTGTAAATTAGCTGGAATAAATGTCGAAAGAATGTCATTTTGTTTAGGCTTTATTTCACAATTTTTTTTTCTTTATCTAGTTCTTATAGTTTGGCTTCTCCAAGTCGTAAAACTCAGTAGAAAGTTTTTCTTCTCATTTGTTGAGTAATCGAATTGGTTCCTTAGAAATCAGACCATTTGATCCTTATAGAAAAAAAATAAGATAAAAAAAAGCAATTCATGATTGAGAAAGTCATTTCAGAACTTTTAGTAAGAAAAATTGTGTTTGTTATTAAAACTTCTAATTTATATAAGCTTAAAAATCACGAATCTTCCTCCTGAAATACCCACGTTGCATGCAAATGATATCGATGATATATATATTATCGATATCATTTGCATGCAACATGGTACTTCAGGAGGACTTAATATATACATATAAAACTTTAAAATCATTTTTAAACTTTAATATAATTCATGTAATTTTTCTCATAACCAATTTTCGTTTATAGCACTTTACAAAAATAGCTTTTCCTTTGTATATTAACCAATATATACTTTTCCTTTTTTTTATCTTGTAATGTTACAAGTATCCATTATATAAAGTACAACCAAAAAACGAGATACTTATAGAAAATTTTAATAAAAACTTTTCTTCTTTGTACTTTTATTTTATTATTTTATAACGATAATAGTCTTTTTTTAAGTTTATATCAACACTCTACTAAACTAAGGAGGGAGATGATTTTTTTTTTGTTCTCTGTATATATATCAAATATAGCAATTTTAACGCGAAATAATCAAAAAATTATGCAAAATTATTAAGAAAATGACTTGTAGACTTATAAAATTTTATTAAAAGTTAAATTAAAATTAAAATTTTTATATAAAACTGAATTAATACGACATAAAAAGCGATTTTTTTTGATATATTAAATTTATAGGGGAATTTAAAATAAAATTTCACTTTTAAACTTTTAAAACTTTGTTAAATGTTGTAATATTTTATATTAAGATTAAAAATATGTGTTTTCTTCCATTAAAGCAAAATAAGTGTAACAAAATCAGCATCTTTTACTTAAACGAACACGTGTGTCAGCTCTTATTTACATAATTATATCATTCTTATGTTTGCAAATGAAATGAAATATCAAATATACAAGATTAGTTAGTCGTTAAGCTTCATGTAAATTGTTTGCTAAAGTATTTTCATAATGAAGATGAATCATTGCCAAGCAAAATAATCTAAGAAAAGATCGATAAGTCTTCATAGTAAGCATCGTTATCAATTTTTCTTTAAGGATTAATGATAATAAGTAACTTTTATATATTTTAGTAATAAATTTTTGGCTTAAATAAATTGTTTATGTTGAATATATTTGCTAAAATTTGTGAGAAAAACAATTTTGTTTTCTTAGAAAGTTTCTTTAGAATCCCATCAAAGTTGGCATGTGCTATACGTTTCCTTGTAAAAGAGGATAGAGAGAGGTGACATATCACTTGTTAGCTAAAGATAGAGTGGCCCAAGAGCAAAATTCTAAACAAGAAAAATAAAATTATGTGAAAATGAAAATAAATATCCAACTTATACTTTAAAAAAAAACACCAACAACACCTACTTTTACTTGTTTAAAGTCAAGTAAAATTTATTGGTTTGTATCTTATTACAATATTTAAGAAGTTTTTAAAGTTTGTCTAGCAATTTATTTTCTTAACAATTTAAGTTGAAAAATTTAGTTAATTTTTTATTTTTTGTTTGTAAGAAATTGTTGAAAAATTAAATTTTATTTTTATTATTACTTTTTTATGAAGAAACCTCAATGTTAATAGATTAAAGTCAAACAAATGATATATAGAACTGACAAAATATCTAAAGAATACTCTTTTTCTGAATTTGTAGAAGAGAATAGAAAATAGCAAAGCGGGTTACTGTCGAGTAAAGGCACGTTCTGTCGTTTAAATTACTTTTTTACTTTCTACACTCTTCTGTACAGCTTGGGACTTAGTCACATGGGAAAACCATAGACTGTCTTTACCTCTTAACAGTTCTGGAAATGAAGTCCCACGTGTGTTTCCTCTCTACCCTTCGACCAATTTAAGATACTTTCGTTATCAGCAGCAAGGGATATTGTTGAGGGATTTGCTACAGTTTTTTTCTCATACTCAAAACTAGGTATATAGTGACATGAAAAGTCGAAAACTTTATTTGATTACTTAGCCTTTATCTCTACTTCAATACAAAGTATAAGAACTGTAAAAAAATGGAGTAACGAAACTCTTTGACACATTCATTATATAAATTGAACATTTTTTTAAATTATAAAATTATTTAAAAATTGAAATTAATCAAGAATAACGTGTTTTTATTTAGATGCACCAGAGTGCAAAATTGGCCAAAAGAAAGTTTATGGTGTTGGTAGGCAGGAGACACTTCTTGTTTCCTGCAATCTTGATGCTGACCCCGAAGAGATCAATTTTCGTTGGAGATTCAACAGCTCTGGTAAAAGCTTAGATATAACAAATGTGAAAGTAGAAGGAACTAAAAGTCTTGCAACTTACGTACCGAATTCTGATGATGATTATGGTTCTCTCATATGTTGGGGTACAAATAGTGTAGGAAGACAAAGAGAACCATGCATTTTTACAATCATACAAGCAGGTATTTATATATATATATATTTTTACATAAAATTTTAATTCATTATATAATTAATTAATTAATTTTTGAAGAATGTTTTCCATTTAATGTATTTAAATAATTCAAATAGAAATTTGAGAGAAAAATTAAAAAATATATATGGCTTAAAATTATATTTAAATAATTTATTTTTATAAATTTTTGCAATATTTTTCTTTTATTTTGCTTTTATAAATGCAATTTTTATAAATTTTGTAGTGCAAATTTTCTATAGATTTATATTTTTATACATTATAATGGAGGAAAACGTATTAATGAACTTCCTCTAATTTAATAAGAGATTTAATATAGAAATGAAAATAATTCTTGATTTGTATTGATTATCAGCCTACACAATCAACAAACTTGAACCACTTAAACTGGAACAGTTACGTTAATCAACCTCAGACGTGATCGTTGCATTTACTATACGAAGATTTAACATACAATCCCTTCTTAATAACATTTAAATTAATCATCTTATTCAAAACTTTAACTAAATTTGAATAATTCCGAATCCAAATTTCCAAGATAAGTTCAAATTCTTTTACTATCTTTAAATATATATAAATATATAATTTTTTTACAATTATTCTGTAAATACTTCGTAATGTGATGAAGTATTTACATGAATAATTCTTCGATTTATATGTAATATAGAAAATGAAATTCTCAATTTTAAGAAGAATTCGTAAGAGACTAATACTAGAAAATTTATATTCTGCAGTTAAAAGAGATTCTTTTCACAAAATGAATATAAGTAGATCCACATAAAAGCAAAAGTGATGAACTGTTCTTAAGTTTGTTCACAAAAGCACAATGTTACTTCAAAATTGATTTTGATCTTGGAAACAAACGATTCGAAAAGAAATCCAGTATTAGGTTTCTGAAGAAGAGAAAAATTCTACAGATTGATTAGTATCTTCAACCCAGTGCCCTTCTAGCCAACAGCATTTATCCCTAGTAAATTGGAATGAAATTTCTCTTCGAGACCAGAAACAATTTTCTCTGTCTATATCGAACAACTAACGATAAAGAAGTAAAGGTTTAACTCTCAGATTTTTCCTCTTTATAAAAAAAGAGAGAGAGGGAGAGAGCGAAAAGAGAGACGAAGGATCTCGATAGAACTGACTACATCAATATGTAAATACAGCTTGCAAAGACGTGAACTACGCTGTCGAAACTTGAATTCGATATTTAATATCGTTAGATATTTCTCCTCTGCTTCTTGAATTTTGTGTTTGTTGGCAAGATAGGAAAATCTTAGAAGTGATAAGATTCTTTATTTATAAGGAAAAAAAATATATAAATAAAAAAAATAAATAAATAAAGTTTGATCGTCTTATCTGTTTTCCACTTTCCTTAATACATTGAAGAAATATTTTATGTATATTTTTGAAGGGATGAAAGTTAAAAAAATAATATTACGTCTTTATTATCTTCTTCTTTGATACATAATCATACTATACTGTATATAACCCGTAATTTAGGTATAAATTTATATATTAAGACACGTTATGGAATTTATCTATATAACCTTACACGTAGACTTTTTAAAGTATATATATATATATATTTTATGTTGAATATATTTGCTAAAATTTGTGAGAAAAACAATTTTGTTTTCTTAGAAAGTTTCTTTAGAATCCCATCAAAGTTGGCATGTGCTATACGTTTCCTTGTAAAAGAGGATAGAGAGAGGTGACATATCACTTGTTAGCTAAAGATAGAGTGGCCCAAGAGCAAAATTCTAAACAAGAAAAATAAAATTATGTGAAAATGAAAATAAATATCCAACTTATACTTTAAAAAAAAAACACCAACAACACCTACTTTTACTTGTTTAAAGTCAAGTAAAATTTATTGGTTTGTATCTTATTACAATATTTAAGAAGTTTTTAAAGTTTGTCTAGCAATTTATTTTCTTAACAATTTAAGTTGAAAAATTTAGTTAATTTTTTATTTTTTGTTTGTAAGAAATTGTTGAAAAATTAAATTTTATTTTTATTATTACTTTTTTATGAAGAAACCTCGATGTTAATAGATTAAAGTCAAACAAATGATATATAGAACTGACAAAATATCTAAAGAATACTCTTTTTCTGAATTTGTAGAGAAGAATAGAAAATAGCAAAGCGGGTTACTGTCGAGTAAAGGCACGTTCTGTCGTTTAAATTACTTTTTTACTTTCTACACTCTTCTGTACAGCTTGGGACTTAGTCACATGGGAAAACCATAGACTGTCTTTACCTCTTAACAGTTCTGGAAATGAAGTCCCACGTGTGTTTCCTCTCTACCCTTCGACCAATTTAAGATACTTTCGTTATCAGCAGCAAGGGATATTGTTGAGGGATTTGCTACAGTTTTTTTCTCATACTCAAAACTAGGTATATAGTGACATGAAAAGTCGAAAACTTTATTTGATTACTTAGCCTTTATCTCTACTTCAATACAAAGTATAAGAACTGTAAAAAAAATGGAGTAACGAAACTCTTTGACACATTCATTATATAAATTGAACATTTTTTTAAATTATAAAATTATTTAAAAATTGAAATTAATCAAGAATAACGTGTTTTTATTTAGATGCACCAGAGTGCAAAATTGGCCAAAAGAAAGTTTATGGTGTTGGTAGGCAGGAGACACTTCTTGTTTCCTGCAATCTTGATGCTGACCCTGAAGAGATCAATTTTCGTTGGAGATTCAACAGCTCTGGTAAAAGCTTAGATATAACAAATGTGAAAGTAGAAGGAACTAAAAGTCTTGCAACTTACGTACCGAATTCTGATGATGATTATGGTTCTCTCATATGTTGGGGTACAAATAGTGTAGGAAGACAAAGAGAACCATGCATTTTTACAATCATACAAGCAGGTATTTATATATATATATATTTACATAAAATTTTAATTCATTATATAATTAATTAATTAATTTTTGAAGAATGTTTTCCATTTAATGTATTTAAATAATTCAAATAGAAATTTGAGAGAAANTGTATGCTTCGAATAAAAAAGGCAGAAGTCCGCCCAATTTTTTAACAGCTAGTACACTACAAAAACCTGAAAAATTAACTGGTGAGACATATTTTCATATAAATATTAAAGATATTTTCATTTATGAACTGCAGGCTTTTTAAAATTATTATATAGTTATAAAGGTGTGTATAGGGTTAGATTTAAACACACGAGGTCTTAGACTACTGTTTAACGTTTGATACTTTTATGTTTATTATTATTTGATGGAGGGGAGGTCTCTTATGTTATAGCTTAGGACAACAAATCTAAATCCGTCCCTACATGTATATTAAAAATACCTAAACAATTTACTTTTTATTATTAAAATTTTCTTCTATTTATTTATTATAAAAATAGTTTAAAAGAGAAAAAAAATCTAATCAAATTTTCCTTAACGTTTATATATTATATGAAGTCTTTTAATAGAAGATCATTGTAAACACAATCAGGAGTTTAGAACAATTTTCTTTATATAATCTAAAAACAACTTACAGTAATGCATCTTATGCTGATCCTATAACATTGCACAAGTACCTTTTGATTATACCTCTTTCCACAACAGAGCACAAACGAGATATTTCCTTATTCTTGACAGTGCATTGGAGATGACATTTGCTCCGCATCTCTGTTCCAGATTATAATGGCTGAGGATAATGGCTCCCAGGAGTTGTATTCTTCAAACTTACCGTCTGCTTAATTCTAAAGAAAGAAGAAGATCGTTCTTTTATTTAAGAACAAAAAAAAAATCAAAAACAAAATAAAAATCCTGTTAAGGTAGAGAAAACTCCTAAAACCCCCTTGAAAGTTCTAAAACTGACAAGGGCTATTTTCTATAATCACTCTTAGCAAAAGCTGTTGATGGTGAGGAAAGTAAGAAAGGTTAATGCGATGCAGACTACAGTATCATCTTATGTTATCTGACGAGTGTTAAATAGATAAATATTCTAATAAATCACGACGTGACTTAGAAGAGTTGACGCAACTAATCCCCATACGATGATATGTGATACTATCTTTGATTCCATCTAATAGCTTATCTTAATACAAGAGAAGTTTTTTCAACTTGACATACGAAATACTCTTTTGTAAATGGCTCATTTATTCTTTTCTCAATCTAATGTTATTAACTAATATAATTTAAACACATTAAAGTTTAGTTATTAACGACTTACATTATTCTTGATTTTTTTTTTTAGTGTCTGTCTCTCTCTATATAATTTAAGCTTAATAATTATATACCTTATTTTAATTAGGATCATTAATATATATTTTTTTATTTAATTTTTCTTTACTTGTCTGTTGATGACAGTATCACGAGGTCCTATTCTTTCAGTTAGAATCAATTTTTCCACCATTTTTTTCTTTACTTCTATCATTTTTTTCCACTTTTATCTTATTACATGTCATGATCAATCTCTCCACATTCCATTTTTTTAAAAATTATTTTTACTTGTCGATGTCTTCTGCGTATTTATATCCATACCATCTGTTTTCTGGAAATTATCCTGGGAAGAAGCCAATTGTTTTTACACGCTTTTATATAAGAACTTTTAAGGCTCTCGCCTCTAAATGCGGTCAGTTTAACTTCTAAATTCAAGAATTGTATCATAACATTAAACCAAAAAAATCATGCAAAGTGATTGTTTACAACTATTCCTCTATTCCATTTCCTCGATTGACAAGTTTGAAAGAAATTCCACAATCTCCTCTCGACACATTTTTGTAAGGATAAAACCTCCATCAATCGTCTTTACTTCTCCAGATGTTCTTGATTCCTTAAATTCGACTGTACAACAAATGCTTGTCTGTACTAGATGGAACCATTGGAATTACTTTCTTGCGTAACAATAATATTTATATAACTACTATTTACTTTTCTTGATAGAGTAAAGACTTTTTTTCCTCTTTTCTTGCAAATCTATAATTTTGTTTATTCTAAAATTCAATTTTTTTTTTTTTTACTTTTTCCAATTTGCAATATGATATACTCTTAAAGACTATACAAATTGTGAGAAAAAGCATAATCTTCATTTTCTTTCTATCTATTTGTAATTTTAATTTTAAAAAAAGTACATATATAAAAATGTTAATTATCTTTTAATAATGGTGTCTAATTGATGAATATCTTGTCTTAATATTATTAAAAGTTATAAGAGTAATTATGAGAATTTTAAGTGTTTCTATATCTATTCTTTTACTAGGACCTCCTGAGGCTTTATACAATTGTTCCATGGTTAACCACACAGAAGATTCTTTGCAAGTTGAATGCAGCGAAGGATACAATGGAGGATTGACGCAGATTTTTACAATGGAAGTATATGACACTACAGACCATCGCCTACAGGGTAATATAACTTCTGTCCAACCGACTTTCTATATTCAAGATCTGCCAAGTGGAGCTGTTCTACGTCTAGTTTTGTATGCTTCGAATAAAAAAGGCAGAAGTCCGCCCAATTTTTTAACAGCTAGTACACTACAAAAACCTGAAAAATTAACTGGTGAGACATATTTTCATATAAATATTAAAGATATTTTCATTTATGAACTGCAGGCTTTTTAAAATTATTATATAGTTATAAAGGTGTGTATAGGGTTAGATTTAAACACACGAGGTCTTAGACTACTGTTTAACGTTTGATACTTTTATGTTTATTATTATTTGATGGAGGGGAGGTCTCTTATGTTATAGCTTAGGACAACAAATTTAAATCCGTCCCTACATGTATATTAAAAATACCTAAACAATTTACTTTTTATTATTAAAATTTTCTTCTATTTATTTATTATAAAAATAGTTTAAAAGAGAAAAAAAATCTAATCAAATTTTCCTTAACGTTTATATATTATATGAAGTCTTNATTCTAAAATAACATAGAAAATAATAAAAATTATATATTTTCAAAGCTATTTAAAAATATTTACTTATATTTTTCAATAATAATTAATTAAAAAAGCGATAAAATTTAATTTAAAACAGTATAGTTTGTTCACTCTTAAATAAAAGTGTACAAAAATAAAAACTAATTATTTTTAAAACTTTTTATTTAAAAAAAAAATTACATAATTTTCTTTTAAAATTTAAAATATATTTACCATTTATTTTATATAATTAAATCAAGACTATCAAGATAAATTTTTCCTCATTAAATAACCTAACATCACAAAGAATATATTTTTAATGGAAAACAAAGCATTTATTTTAAAATAAATTACATATTTTTAATTTAAATAAATTATTTGACAAATTTTTATTTTTAGCAAGTAATAGATGCAGTTATCTATCTTTCACATAACATTAATCATACTTTAAATTATTACACAATTGTAGCGGATGCCTCATTCTGTCGTCAGATTGAACATTACCATTAAAGTCTTTTGTGGTATACGTCATTTAAAGCTTTGCAATAAGGTCCATTGCTTCGAAAAATAAAAAAAAAAATAAAATAAAATAAAAAAAGAGACAGCAATGTCGTTATGGTTGAAAGAAAATCACGAATGAAGACGAGATTAACGAATGTACGCATCAATAGACAGAACCGTAGACATTTGTCAGCCATGTGTACACTCCTATTATCAGAAAGAGGTAATTTTGGTTTGTCGCTGATAAATTGTAGGTGATGTAATTGACGGGATACAGGATGTATTCGTTTTTCCAAAGATTGGATGTTGGTGTCTCTTTGAAAAATAACTGACATTTTTCACATCCACCTGAGTTATTCTAATTATTGGAGAAATGCGATCGATGATGTTGACGAATCAGTTATAACACCAAGCTCTTTATACTTATATATACGCTAATATTCGAAGAATATTTATCTCAAAAATTGCTTAACGTAATTGGATGTAATTTAATATCCGTTATTTGTTGTTATCCAATACGAATCTTCCTTTTTTTCGTTTCTTGCGTGTAAATGTGTTAAGATACATGAGATTAATCGCGTGTATCATGCGATGATTTAAAAAAAAAATTAATTTTAAATTAAATATTTAAGCTTAAATTATTGATATATTTTTTATGTATATTTATGTTAAAATTATAAAAGAATTTGTTTAAAAAAAATGTAAAAAATTAAACCAAAATTTGTCACTTTCTTAATTTTTAAGAGTTTATAATTATTATTTTTTTAATTGTTGTTAATGAAAATGTCGTTTTAATTTTNGATTTTTATCGCGCATTAATTAAATTGCACGTAGCGAAGCGAACGTTCTTGAAAAATAAATTGTTTTTACATCCGCTTTCATTTTATTTTTTAAAATAAGAGCAATTGTACTTACTTAATCGCATCTTATAGATATGTATGTATTTATATTTTGTAGCATCAGCTAGAGCAAATGGCTCGACAGACAAGTAAGTGTTTAAGTTATGAGTCTTTCGCATGTAATTTTGATGATGTTTGCTTAAGAAACTTTATTTAATATGTCAATGCATTCGTCTTGATAACTTTCATCTTAAGCTTAGACACACACACACTTACATACTATGATGCAAATAGGTAAAGTGCTTTACTTGTCGACTACCAAGTAAAGGTATTGTTGTGCATTATTCATTTTTGAAAGGAAAAAAAAAATTTTTGTGCTTCAAATCATGTTTTAAAACTAAGAAAAACTATTTAAAGTAATGGGAATTTATCTAAAACAATTCTTTTTCTTCGTGTTTAAAGTTTTCCTCGTTTATTATTATGCATCATCATCATAAAAATGCTCTCGTATAATTACTAAATAATTATGTAAAATCTCTTAATATAATGTTAAATTTGATACAGTTGCAACTAGATTTATAAGCTCCTATTGAATTGATTTAAAGTCCATGAAATTGCATGATAAGCTGATTATATACTACCCAAAATATAATAACTCATTACATGCAAAGGGTTTACAACTGAAACCAATTTCAAACTTTAATAACTATACCAAAACTCAAAATTATCTTCATAAATATTCAGCGAATCTATTCAGAATTCAAAATGAATTTTTTTTAAATATATTTTCTACTTAAAATTATATATCGAATTTTATATAATATACTAGCATGTGACCCCATTTTCTTTTCATACTTTTCAAACACTTTTCTCTTTCTCTATTCTGAATAAAATCGTTATTTAGAAAGTCAATGTGTTTGGATATTTTTTTAAATATAAATTTCTAAGTTTTAGTAAAGCTCAAAAGTTACTTGTACACATTCACAAGTTAGTAAAATTCTAACAAGAAAAAATACTTTGTACTAAAGCTAAAATTGATGTTGCTCTAAACATTTAAGTATTATGCATATTTTTAAAAATATAATATAAAATATTTATATTTTAAAACTTTTTAAATAATATCTATTCATATTTTTTTCAATAATAATTAATAAATAAGTCATAAATACTAGTTTAAAGTAGTACATTTTGTGTGAACTTGCTGTATCAAGAACCTTTTTTTATAATTTTAATTTTTTTATATATTATTCTAAAATAACATAGAAAATAATAAAAATTATATATTTTCAAAGCTATTTAAAAATATTTACTTATATTTTTCAATAATAATTAATTAAAAAAGCGATAAAATTTAATTTAAAACAGTATAGTTTGTTCACTCTTAAATAAAAGTGTACAAAAATAAAAACTAATTATTTTTAAAACTTTTTATTTAAAAAAAAAATTACATAATTTTCTTTTAAAATTTAAAATATATTTACCATTTATTTTATATAATTAAATCAAGACTATCAAGATAAATTTTTCCTCATTAAATAACCTAACATCACAAAGAATATATTTTTAATGGAAAACAAAGCATTTATTTTAAAATAAATTACATATTTTTAATTTAAATAAATTATTTGACAAATTTTTATTTTTAGCAAGTAATAGATGCAGTTATCTATCTTTCACATAACATTAATCATACTTTAAATTATTACACAATTGTAGCGGATGCCTCATTCTGTCGTCAGATTGAACATTACCATTAAAGTCTTTTGTGGTATACGTCATTTAAAGCTTTGCAATAAGGTCCATTGCTTCGAAAAATAAAAAAAAAA